GCTGGAGGCATCGAGGGAGAGAGCGCTGTGGGGCTCACTCCAGACCACAGCTGGTTGCCAGAGAGCAGYTCCTGCCACAGGAACCTCTAGCACACAACTTTCAAATGCTCCTGTGAGACCGCACTGCAATGCGCTTGTTGTGCCACGGGGACCCATCCGTGCACATTGGCAATACTCACACAAAGCTAAAGGGACTGTTTGTAATGAGGAAGAGTTTCTTGTTGTGGTTCACCAGCCGGTTTAGGACAGCATAAATTTCATCCCCATGCAGAATATACTTTTCTGTATTGGAATAAAACAGACGTCACTGATCAAGAAATTTTGGCATAGGTCATCACCACATTTTATGAAAACTAAACCCCATCTAAGCACCTATACTAATAGGAGTGCAAAAGCGTTGGGGATCAGCTACAGGCCATTCCCATCAGTCCATCTAACAGATTGGTAGTGAACCACCACGGTGACAAAATGCCCTTCCTCATCCTCTTCATCTAGAGGAGAAGAGAAAGGTAAGGAATAGAAAAGGCTGGCAAGAAAGAGAGTTGATACCCAAATATCAGGATGGACAGACATAATCACTTGAGGCTGTATTGCTACTAGGAGCTCTTGGAAAGACCAAGAAAGCTTCCCAAATTATTTCTCTGCATCTTCACATTATGCCAGGGGCACCACCCCTCATTTGCAGGCAGAAGGAAAGAGCAGCATAAGCAACAAGGTAATTGATTCCTTCATTAGAAAAGATCTTCCACTAGAACCTAGATTTAATCTGCTTGTAAATGCCAGTCTACACCTTGGCTATCTTTAGGAATGACACAACCAAATATTTCATTAATTTCTTTGTCCACCTGACTCCTGTGAGCGAGTGCAGAGCCCAGAGAGTCATCTTATGTAGATTCGACATAGTAGAGCAAGACATACAAATGGATTTGGCACCAGAGGTCTGTTTAACTCACCCAGATCTTTTTCAATCCATTTGTACATCACTCCTTTCACATGTACATCTTTAATGGCATCCTAAAAAAAAAAAAAAAAAAGAAAAAAATGTTTCAGTTTTACATAGAGCACTCCTGCTTCCCAGCATGTGCAACTACTTCAGTCATTGAGGAGCATACAGTAGTGGCATCCCCTCTTCTTGATTAAGAAAAGCCACACTAACACCTAGCAGCAGATCTTGCACAATAAGGCTCATCGCTGTGCCAAAAACACCACCACAGTGGCTTTAYCAGTTTAGGCAGCAATGTAAAAGGAGTGGGAAAACCTCAAAACTTGGCCAAGCAAGAGGCAAGGGCACAAATGAAGAGGTTCTGCTGGGGGGCTTGGCCACAACAGCACTGCCCGCTTCTGCAGCAGGAGGCAAGAGGGAACARATACTGTCAGTGACATCCAACAGCCTCAACTTTCCAGCCCACAGGCAAAGATCCAAAACACTTCAAAGGAGACACCCATGTAAGATACTTCACAGTTTCCATCTATAGAGATATGCCAGACACAGAAACCCATTCCCAGAGCAGAAATCCACTCTGCAGTGTGTAGATGTGCTTTAGGGCTACCATTTTCATCCATGACAGTAAGGCAAAAGTACAAAGGCTGCCTTTCCCCAGGATAATTAAATCTTTTTTTTTTTTTTTTTTTTTTAAATTAGATGCGCTGCACAAAAAGCCACCTTTGAAAGCAGATCCACATCTCCACTGCTGACGTTGCTACAGAGGTTGCACACAATGCTGCAGTAATATCTGCACACCGTGCAGCACAGCAATCCAGTCTTACTGCAGTGGTGACAGTTGCAGTGAAAAATCAGGATTCCTCTGGAATGATTTCCTTCCAACTTGAGAGAAAACCATTTACAGCTTAGATTGGGGACAATGAAGGAGGAGCCACCTTTTCAAAACAGTGATTTAGGAGTCTATTCCCCCCATTTGGATTTGAATGAGGAAAAGGCAGGGGCCACAGCTCATTCATTGAGAGACTTTTGTACTGGGCTAAGTGACCAAACAAAAAACAAAAGCACTGTCAAGAAAACAACTTCATTTTGACCAGCACTAGCTCCAAAAACAAAATTTCRTCTGGTTTGTGCTCTACAAAATTACCTTGTAGAGCACAAAGAGATTCCAGTTTGCTCCTTCCTTTAAACAAAAAAAAAAGAAGTGGGAAGAACTGTAACTTGCCTGTAGATCAGTCTTGATAGCCTGGGGAGGTACCAAACAGGGCTCAAAAACTCCCCAAGAAAAGCAGGGCAACTGCATGTGCTTACGCTCCGATGCGGAGCAGCCAAGCCAGAGCAGCAGGATGCCACAGTCTGCAGGTCTGGAGCAGCAGGATGCCACAGTCTGCAGGTCTGGAGCAGCAGGATGCCACAGTCTGCACGTCCATCCCTCCGCGCTGCCTCGGGGCTGCACTCGCTCAGCGCAGCGTCACTAACACGCAGGCTGCTTCCAAGCTGGCCTCCAATCGGAATTCCCACCGACAACGGCAGCATCGACTGCAGCCGCACTCACCCACTGGCAGCCTGTGCTGGAGCACGCGAGTCCCCTGCGAGCCCTGTCTGTGCAGGCACAGAGGGATCCCTGTGCTCACATCCACAAACCATTCCTCTGCACTTGCTTTGCTATTGTGGGAAGGCATAGCTCGATCCAGCAAAGGGATGAGCCTGCAAAAATTAYCCTTACTCTCGTCACACAGAAAAAGGAAGATCTACTCTGATAAAAGCACAGGACGCTCTCCCATCACGCCTCCTRTATGGATTTCGAGCACTGGCTTGACGGATTTTCAGTCGTCCCTCATCTCTCTGCTTACCTCACTTGCTCCTCAAGAATAACCACATTCCTCAGCAAAGGATGCAAAAGACAAATGCCAGGATTAGCACTCAGGATACTGAGGGCTTGAGGATACTGTTCACCCTGTACTGAGTACACATTAGGCAAGGGTCACCACCCACTTTGATCAAGACCACTTTGATCTCAAAAGAAAGGTCAGAAAACACACTTGACACAAGACCTCTGAAGGCAGCTCCATCTCCTCTTCAGGTTTCCCCTACCCTAAAAGAAAACAAACTACAACCACCAAAACCCTAGAAACACGTAAGGGCCTTGTGGGGAACCAGCTCTTATCGAGCACTAACAGAAGGCCAAAACCAAAGCTCTGACCCTTGGCTGTAGCAAAGCTGACTGGGTGAATCCTTATCACCAAAAAGGCAGCATTTATGTAACCCCTTTTATGTCAGCAGATGACTGCAGTGTGTCCATGCAGGCTGCTACTAAAGGATGACTGCTAAATTCCCACACTGTACAGACCAAAACCACCCGCCCATGGAGAAAGGGCTGGCATATCCCTTTGCTGCCAGGAAAGATGCAGCATCTGTCAACAAATGCAGGGCATTCTTGAGTACTTCCCTTTTGTCTATAACATTAATTGAGAAGTAAAAGAGCTCCCCCAACAGTACTGATAATCCAGCATTTCCAATGTAGCTGGAGGGCACAATTAGCCTTGGAGTAACTACACCTCAAATCATCCAACTGCCTTCCAAACACAAAGGAAGGAGTGAATTCCCAGAGCAGGCAAGGGGAAGGAGTTCCCCACAGTCACTGCAGAAAGCAAACTGCCTGGTTCCTGGTCTTGCACGGTCATGCAGGAAAGCAAAGCTTGCAAGCCGGCAGAAGTGGGAAGCAATAACACAAGCTCTGTGGCACACTTCCTGGGGAAGGATCTTCGAGATAACTGCCCAGACCCTCCTGCAAGAGGTTTGTACAGCAAACATCAACTTTACAGTATAGACAGAGACTCAACACACCCTGAAAACACTTGGAATGCTCCTTGGTAATGATCAAATCAAATGAGATAACAGTGTTATCATATTAGACTATTCAGAATTAGCACCTCGTGTGGAGAAATTGCAGAGCTCACCTGCACTAACAGGCTGAAGAGCTCACAAATTTAAGGTGAGCTACAGAGTGGTTGAYATTTTACTCACAGATATATCCTTGTAAAGATGGACCTGGTCAAACTCAATGCCGTGAGTTATGAAGTAATCGATGACTGAAGACAGAAGCGTCATTTCRGGAAGAGAAAAAATGTCCATAAATTGCTTAAGTGAAGGACCCTGGAAAGCAAAACATGAGGATGCATTAAACCAAAAATGCTGTAAAACAACAAGCCTRCATCACCCAGGACCAAAATACTCCAGACTAATAAAAAGAACAAAGCCAGTGTGGGAAGCCCTAGCCAGCGAGCAGGCGCCCCTCTCCCCTCTGCATTAATGCTTCCTGACAAGACAGAGGCATCTCCTTCACTGAGACGGTTAAACAAATCCAGCGTTACTAACACCATGTGTCAGGGATGGAGGGAGCAGGGAGTCAGGCCTAGAACAATAACTCCTATTTCAAGTGCATGTGCTTTGATTCCCACCTGGCCTCTTGCCATTGCTGTAGGGTGCCAAAAGACTGCACCCTGTAGAAGAAGCTATGCCCCTTGCTGGAGATGTTCATCATCCATCCTAGCAAATCTGTGATTTTGGAGGCACTGGCCCCAAAACTGCTCTATCCATATTCCAGGGAGTGCAAGGCAAGAACTACTCCAACAGGCAGTTTACAAACAGAAGTCTGCCCAGTGTTGGCTCCTATTAAAAGAGTGGGCACATGCCAGAGAAGAAGCAGAGAGTGGGTGAGAAAGTCTGTATGTGTGCATGTAGGTAGGAGGGTTCAGCCCACTTTAGAACTAGCTAGCAGTCAAGAAGAAATGGAGAATTTCTATGGGGCTCAGCCCACTTTATGGGCTTATTTTTTCAGCCCACTAAATGGGGTTCAGCCCACTTTAGAACTACCTAGCAGTCAAGTAGAAATAGAGAATTTAAACTGTCACCAAGTAGTAACTCAGGTTGCATCAGGCAAGGCTGCAACCCTCCATTCACCTTCTAGTTTTACTGCCTATCAACCACAAACCTTTCAGCAGATCAGCAGCCAAGTTTGGCTCCRGATTGCCCACCCAATTTATATACACATATATATAAAAAAATCTTGTTTATTCAGTAGGTACTACCTGTCTACAGGACTATGGTGTGTCTCGTTGGAGAACTGAAGTTGAAATCAATCATTTTATCTTTCATCGTTCAAGTGTCGGATCAGCCAAGGGAACAGTTATTAAAACCTGGTACATGGAAAGCAATTTGGGAAATACTCAGAGCTCTCGAAGAACCTGGAGCACCCCAGCAACCCAGTCACGTCAGGCCTGTGCCCGTGAGCTTTGAGCTACAGCCGTGGCAATCCATGACTGACTGTCAAAAAATTGCAGCTCTCTAGGATAACGTTAATCTCTAGGGTACCACTGGAATATCAGAAGACATTTGATATAGCTATATGAAAAATGGACATGAAGGCTGCATCCAAGAAGTCACAGGAAGCACACATGGTTGAGCTGACACAGGGCCTGTGCTCCCTAATGTTGAATATTTGTTACTGCTGCATCAGGGCGTAACAACGGAAACATCTTGTGTTTAGTCTGGTCTTGTGAGGACAGAGAGAGACAAGTGCTCTCTTTGCAGCATAATATAGGGACAGCACAAGGCAAGATTACAGAAGAYAGAAAAGGACAAAGGAATAACAAACAAGTTTTTTTTGCCTGAAGTTTTTTTCCAAAAAAAATGCTGCTATCAGAAGGGATGTTGGATGTCTGGAGAATTATCCAGCAGCAAAGGACAACCTGACTTGCAGAAGAAAGGAATACAAGCAATATATGGGCCATGTGTAGTGGGGCTGCTTAGCAAGAGCTGCTGAATCCTTTCACTAGTCTTGTCTATTGTGATGTAAACCCTTCTTTCACTAGAAAATGCAAAACTTCCAGAAAGCAGCTACCCATTTTTCCTGTTCAGGGATTCTGAGAATGGAGCAAGAGGGACACAGAAGGCAGCTTCTATTGAAACCACACAAATTAGAATGAAAACCAGTCTCACAGACTTCAAAAGAACGCCACACACGGCTTTTCCACAACACCCACAATGATCCACCTTCCCTACAGGTCAACASTAGTCACACAGCACTAGCTGCTCAGGCTAAGCCTAGGCAAGGTCTGCGCTTACGTTCTGCAGGTGTTTCGATGCCAGTAGCAGTCCACACAATCCTGCCAAGAAAGGATCAAGAAAAGCCTTAGGGGGAGAACATTTACACTCTGACTACATCAGTGCTACGTGTTTTATGCCATGTTGCCTGGAACTACTAGCTTGGCAGACCCTCCTGTTACCCGTACAGTGGCAGCAAGATCAGCACTCCATCTAAGGAAGGTCAAAATCCTTACAAAAGACACCACACCAACCGCATAACAAATGCTCACACCAACAACCAGCCTAAATCCAATGCTTCCCCACTGTGTGGCATTGCTGGGCTCTAGTGTTTGGATGTACTTACTGGCCCTTTCTCTTTGGGAACCATCTATTTGCTCATGGGGCTCATTAGGTTTTTACGAAGACATCCTCCCTCTCAAAGGATAAACTTCTAGTCCTAACTTCCCTGGCAAAATGTGATACGGAATCTTTCAATATCCAGGGTTATTTCGAAATCACTAAGGACAGACAACTGATCCAGGAAGGATGTGGATGGGCTTCAGTAGGTACTATTCTGCTCTGTATAATGGCCTATTCATAACACCATTCTCTAGAGAGCAGACAACTCGCACACAAAAGGCTGCTGAAACACAATACTCTTCCACTTTCCTTTTACAACCACTTTTATCTTGCAACCTGCAGTGTCAAATTGGCCCCTTGAGGCATGACAAAAATCCCTCCCATCCTTACCCAGGAAAGAGTCAACAAACGAGATCCTGAAATAAGGATCCAAAGGGATGCTCCAATTGCTCCTGCAATTCCATAGCAGGCTATGGAACAAGAGTTAGGGCAGGGTATTTTCCTGATGTTAATCCCACTCAACTGCTAGTGCCTGTTGGCTCCTGCACAGTCTGCTCCAATAAATAACAGGCAACTTCTTTTGGGATTACAGCTTGTAAAGGTATTGTCTTGTATGACTGTGTCAGGTACTTACTACAAGTCAGAAGACAACACCTGAGGTAGCTGCTACAGCATCAAMAAAGCACAGAAAGGCACCCTGGCACAAAGCCCTACAAAAAGCCACAAATCAGAGCAGATTTCATGCACATATTTATGAAAAGAAGTTAAGTTATCCCACGCCTGCTAGGAGCAAGAGCAGCAGCACAGCAGGGGCCAGTCAAGTGCAGTTTACATACAGATAACAAATTCTAAACAGAAACATCCCAAGCTGCAAGATATCGGTGCACCCAGAAGGCAGCTGGCCAGACAATTTGTTCTCAAGAAAAAGACAAAATTCACAAGCAACCTCGTTGGGGACTTCACCCCAACGGGCATCAGCAGAGGAAACCCGTCCTTCTCCTTCCAGCTGCTATTAAGGCAACTAAATTTAAAAAGAACAAGAAAACAAGCAACTCCAGGGGCACAGGGATGCAAATACCCTGCTTGCCCACACATCCTGCTAAGCATGTGAGGAAGAAAAATCTCTGACTTCCTCCTGCCCAGGCAAACAAATGACTTTGACTTCTCCAGCCTTTTACCATGACAGTAACATTTCTGCCTCAGAAAATGTAGTCATGGATCCCAATCATACAAACAGCGAGGACT